ACTCAATGGTATGTGGTTTGAACCCACTAGCTGCTTTTCAGGAGAAAAATGAACAGTCTCCTGTGCAGTTTACTGCCTCTGAAAAGCCCCTGGCGGGTCAGCAGTAGGTCGGTTCTGATTGGATTGTACATAAAAACAACAACTTAGGGCAGAGGAGCACTGTGCCCAATAGGGTTTCCAAGGCTGTAAATCTTTACAAAAGCAGCCTGCCTCATTTTTCTCCCACAAAGTAGCTGGATTCCAGTCACCAACATTGCAATTAACAGCACAGTGCTTAATCCATTCTGCCACCAGGGCTCCTTTCATTATCAAGTCAAGTCTGACTGATAGCCGCCTTCCACTGAGTTCCCAAGGCTGTAAATTTTTATAGGAAGAGATTACCCATCCTTCTTCCATGAAGCAGCTGCTGGATTTGAATCACTGTCCTGTCAGTTAGAAGTGTGACAATATGCCACTTAGGCTTTTTTCTTGTATCTGTAATTTCAAATGGTATGGTGTGGTGTGGTGTGGTGTGGTGTGGTGTGGTGTGGTGTGGTGTGGTGTGGTGTGGGGTGGTGTGGAGTGGTGTGGGGTGGTGTGGTGTGGTGTGGTATGGTATGTTTTTCTAATTTTTTATGGTCTCAAAAAACATGATTTCCTGTGGCACTCAACACGTTATCCAGTTGATGTTTTTGTACGCAGGACCTGCTTCCTTTTCCTTTATGCCTTTGTAGTAGACAGGTTATTAGATGGAGAACTTAATTTCTGTTTTCCTCTATAATGCCAAATGCAAAAATTCTGGATATATAGCAACAAAAATTATCCATCTATATGTTTATGTATATCTGCAAGTATGTGGTTTTGTATATGTGGTTAAATCTCCCTTATATTAAAACTATCCATTCTATCATTTGTTAGAAGTTGTTGTGAGCTGCTATTAAACTGACCTCTAAATTATGGTGATCCTATCTCTGCACGATGAGATGAAACATCTCCAGTTGAGAATTGGACTGTTTTGAGTCATAGATATTTTTATTGGCTAATTTTTACCTCCACTGGCAGATAAATGGCACCAATACAAGAGGCACATCAGCATGAAATAGCTGATCAGGAATCAAATCCAGGCCTCAAACATGTTATTGCTGTTGGGTTTATGTGCCTTCAAATCAACTATGACTCAAGGTGATCCTGTGAACAACAGGTCTAAACCTTGTCATACTCTGTACCATCCTCTGCCATCTCTGATATGCTTGAGCCCATTGTGACAGTCCTTTGCCAATCCATCTTGTGGAGGCCCTTCTTTTTCGTTAACCACTTCTTTACCAGCATGAAGTCTTTTTCCAAAGACTTACCTTTCCTGATAATATGCCCAAAGTATGTGTGACAAAGTTTCACCATTCTTGCCTTTAAGAAGCACCTGATTGCACTTCCTACAGATCACATTTGTTGTTCTTTTGGCGATTCATGGTATATTCAATACTCCTCACCAGGACCACAATTCAAAGAGCAATTCTTCTTTGGTTTTTCACTGTCTGACTTTCAGATGTACAGGAAGCAATTGAAACAATCATGGCTTAGATCAGGCCTTTGCTAGTGGCCTAGTGGGTGAGACATCACACTGCCAACCCTAAGAGGAGTGGTTCATAAGTCTACTTGCTACTCTGCAGGTGAAAAATTGACAGTCTCCTCCTGTTTCTTTACACCCTCTTAAAACCAGCTTCATGGCTAGCTACTAGTCAGTTCTGACTTGATGGCAGAGTTGACACTTGAGCTTTAATAGGACTTTAGTCTTTAAATTATGTCAAGTGCACCTTAGTCTTTAAACTAATGTCCTTGCTCTTTAGCACTTTGGAGATGTCCTTCACAGCAAATTTTTCCCAATGCAAGGTATCTACTGATTTTTTTTACTGTTGCAGCCTTGAGTTTTGATTGTGGATCAAAGCAAAATGAAGTCATTGACAACTTCTATCTATTCTCCATCTATGATGATGGTGCCTGTTTGTCCATTGGTAAGGATTTTTTGTTTTCTTGATATTGAGATGTAATCCATATTAAAGGCTGTAGTCTTTGATCTTCAGCAGTAAGTGCTTTGAGTCATCTTCACTTTCTGCAAACATGGTTGTGTCATCTGCATAACACCAGTTGTTGAGTCTTCTTCCAATCCTGATGCCACATTCTTCTCTATAGTCCATCTTCCCAAAGTATTGTCTTCTGCATAGAAGGCAAGAGTTTTGTCACTGAACTAGAATTCTGTTACTGCCTTCTGACCCAAGTGCAAATTCAAAGCTCATAATGACCCTCCACTGAATTTCCAAGGCTGTAAATTCTAACAGTCTTGCCCATTTTTCTCTCACAGAGCTGCTGGTGGATTTGACCCATCAGAGATGAGCAGCAGCCTTTGGTTTAACACCACAGCTCTCTACAAGACTGTACTACCTGAGCTCCCAAGCACAGCCTGTGATAATTACCAGATGACCTTTTTGAGTTGTGTGTGCTCCTGCACTCCATTGTCCTCCGCCTTTCAGGCAGTCCTGAAAGGTTTATTTTCGTCATTCATCTGCAGCCCTTTTTTGAACCACACTAATCTAGCTCTGAAGTGCAAGAACACAGAAGCATGCTTCTGCCTACCTCTGGTTTTTAGCACTAGAAATTCTGTGTCTAACACCTGTTTTCAATCTTATGCTCCACTTCTCAAATCTTATTATATCTCTGCCTTTTTCACACTTTGTAGTCTCTCCCTAATATTTGTTTGCAAAACACTAACTCATTTGTATTTCTATAATTACTTTAATTTTTTGTCTTTTCATCTGTAGTGGTTCTTCCCGTCTGGCAGCCTATCTGTAACTACTGTTCTTCCACACAATAGCGTATATGAGAGAGGCGCTCTTATTTCAGGAGTGACTGGGCCGGATTTCTCGATAGTCAGGATATGATTATGTCTCTCTAGCCATTGCATTATCTTTCTCGTGAGAGAGCTAGTCTCCAGACTCTTGACTTTGTGAGTTCAAATGTTTGCTATTTTAAAACTAGAGTATCTTACCCATTATGTTCTTTTCTTAGTGCTTCACAGTTCAGTAATTTTGTGTTTCAGGGGGTTGTCACACATATGGCATCTTACAGTAATTATTTGGTTATCCATTTAAGATGCCTTTGTATTAAATAAAATATCATTTTCCTCAGACAAGGAAAGTAAATTAAAACCTTAGGAAATGCTCTCAAGTATAATGGAAAACGTGTACTCTCAAAATCTTCTCTTCTATGATTCTTCTTTTTCAGTTGTGGATCAAGATTTATTTTACTAAGTTTCAGCATTGTGGATGTGTTCTGCCAAGTCTTTCTCTTTTTTTCCCCCATAATCATGTAACTCTCTTAGATAATTCCCTTAAATAGAGTTTGTTCCAAAAGTAACTGAAGATCAGAATTTTAGAATGTTACATAAATTTCAGTGAGGCAAATGCCCTTGGTAACACAAATGGCCTGTTGAAGCACACTTGGGGCGCTTGTGGCATCAACCCATGTTTCTGAACAAACCACATTAGTTCTTTCCTGGGACTTATGTTTCCTGACCTGAAAAGACAAGATCTGTTCAATTGATTCAGATACATGGAACTGTGCTCCATGGGATTTTCATGGCTGATGTTCTGGAGGCAGATCTACAGATCTTTCTTCCAAGGAACCTCAATGTGGTCTCAAACCGCCAACTTTTCGGTTAACTGTCTTTTCAGTTCACATAAACTGTGTGCACCAACCAAGGACTCCTTTTGCTTACCATTGAAATAAAAATTCATTACTGTGGAGTGGGAAGCAACTCATAGCTGACCCTCCATTAGGTTTCCAAGGCAGAAAACTGTACAGGAGGAGACTGCCATCCTTCTCCTTTACGGAGTTGCTGCTGGATCCAGACCACCAGAGATACAGTGCAGCTCCTGACAGACCATGCCACCAGAGCTCCATCATCATTTTTAAATGTTATTTGTGGGCTCAAATGCCAAGAAATGTTACGGAAACAAAAAGGATATCTTTCAAATAGTTACCCCCTAGAGGAAGTGCCTGGCTGTCCATTTTCCATAGTAACAGACTAATGAGACTATATGGAGAATCGTCTAGAAGAGTCTCTATCTCCAAGTTGCATCTCTTGTTATCACAGACCTACAAAGTCCAGACAGACGCAGTCCAGAGTTCAGACACATACAAGTGGTAGTTGTCAGGAGGTGACTCACCAAAAGTTGCAGCAGCTATCAAAGCAAAGAGGAGTCAATTTGTAGATAGACATTGAGAAAATGTTCTGTGATCAATTGGCTATCAATGTAAAGGAATTCCTCACTATTGTAGCAGTAGTCGAAATGGTAGGAAGATAAATTGTTAATGGTCAATTTAATGCAATGCTTGAAGATCATGTCAGACTTCTCAGAAACTTCAAAAGGGAAAATGCTCAAAATACAGAGAACTTTTGCCCACATGTTTAAAATGACTGGCTAGCTTATCATATACTATATTGTTCACTCTCAAGCCCCTTGGTTTTTCTCTCAGAATATTTTACCTGTTCAAAGATACCTTTTGTTTGTCTGTTTTACTCCATAACAGTCATTGATTTTATTTGCTAGATAACAGAAGAATGAGATCTAAAAAATGAATTCACACAAAAAAAGAAGATACTTTAAAGCAGAGATCAGAATACAAATGCAGAACAAAGTTATTTAGTGAAATGCTAAAGTGGTCATTCATTCAAACTGGCACATCCTATTAGAAGCTATCTTTAGTTCAGAATTGCTGGGCAATGTCATAAATAGCACAGGCTAGAAATTTCCATGTGCTTAGAATAAGGATCATGTTCCTACCAGGATGCAGCAGTATCTTTATCATCACCACACAATATTTATTAAGGGTCTCTCAAATCCCATGCCACGATAGAAGGCAGGACTTTTACAACAAGCATGAGGTTTATGAGTAAAAAGTTTAAGGCACCCTGAACATTTCAAATGTGAAACAAATGCCAAATAACGACTTAACATTTTTCACAGGGTGCGTCTCCTGGTGGATGAGGGCTATGAAGATCGAATTCTGATGGCACATGACATACACACGAAGCATCGGCTGATGAAATATGGCGGTCACGGCTATTCTCATATACTCACCAACATTGTTCCAAAAATGTTAGTCAGAGGTATATCTGAGAATGCACTTGATAAGATACTAATAGAGAACCCTAAGCAGTGGCTAACATTCAAATAAGATGGCTGTTTATGAATTTACACCGTGAGTATAAAACTTAGCATATTCAATAGGATTTCAAACCCTCTCTAAGATACGAATCAAAGCCACATAATTAAGACTAATGACATAATTGCCTTTTAAATGAGAATTGGAAGAGTTTTGCCTTCTCCAAATCTGAGTCTCATTTCTAGAGGGTTAGTGAATTTAATTGAGCTCTATGGTTCTGCCTTTGGAAAACAGAGAAGTACCTGTTTCCAAACAATGGTATCAACTCTGTATCCCCTAAGTGGAAGTTGGTTGGTTTGTTTTCTCTTCTTTACTTTCTAATCTATCAGCTGCACTATTTGAGAAAAATTTCGATTGTTTCTAGTTAAATTACTCCCTTCTGGAGCAACCTAATGTTTCTTGTAATACTGATGATCCTACTAATTATCCTGCTGTTCTTTAATTAATGCTTAATGAATAATATGGCACTTTAAAATAGCTTTGGCAGCAAGGGAAGTTAAATTTTTAGACTTCCTTCCCTCAAAGGACACTATAATATAATGACCAATTCACAAAGATTAAAATATTTTTAAAGATTAAGTATATGCTGTTCATCTTTCTGTATATTTTAATAAATAACTTTTTATGCCTTTGGCTTTCTGGTATCCATTTTATGGTAAATTCTGTTAAGGCTTGCAAAAATTGCATAAGAAGGCATGAACACTGAGTACTAAATGATAAAAATTCAACCATAAAGTCAAAATATATTACATAATATAGTTTAATGAATCATTACATTTATAATAACAAAGGCCACAATTTAATTGATAAGATATAATGCAAAAAAGAAATGTTTGCCTTACATAGATTCCCTTTATTTCCTTTACCTTTTATTTGCCTCTTCCTTGAGCCTAAAGAGAGAAAATAATGTTTGTTTATCTGAAGAAAAGGTCATATCTATTAGAAATGACAGTTGGGTTCTAGAGCCTGCCTTTTAAAACATACCCAGTCCTGATTTATTGTGTAAGATTACTTTTTAACTCTTGGTTCATATGCACTGGTACTAATTATAAACTAATCTTTTGCTCAGATCATCACGATGCTATCTGATACCTAAAATAATTCTCCATAACCTTGCTATGAATTCTTCTTTTATAAATGCATATTGTTAAATAAAAATAAAATTCATTATAATTCATTTGAGTTATATATTAGAAAGGCCAAGTAGAATTAGTCATTATTCTTGATGAGTCGGCTAAGTGTTTTTAGGCATATAAATCATGACAGTTACTCAGTCCAAGGCATTTAAACAAAGCAAACAGCACCTTCAGATTGAGAACACCATGCATAACTATTTGGAAAGTTTGGTTTGCTAAATAAAAGATATTTTATGCTGATCAAAATGATCAAACTTCCCGTGTATTGGAACAGAAAGTACTAAAGAGGAACAAGGCAAGAGAACAAACTAAATCCTTTAAATGAATAAATGCAAATGTCTTTCACCAATGAAACAAGCAGATTTTTAAATCTCTCTTTCTCTCTCTCTCTTTTTTAATCTATTTGTCAAGAGTCTTCAAAGACAACTGAAAGAGGAACAGATTTTTCATTATAATCGTGGAAGTTGTCTAATAGTTAGGATACATCAACATGCATTTTTAATCTTTTCCTTAGATTAAAGAGATGACTTTTGGCAGTGTGTTAGAACCAGAGAGAAAGGATTTGCACTACTCTCAAAATCTACTTTACTGTTAGCTTCAATCCACCTCAAGAAAAAAAAAAGGATAATTCAAATGCATATAATTCATAAACACTGCCAAGGAAAGCCACCTGCTTTCTGCAGTACTAATATTAATAGTCAGCTCAGGGTGCAGTTAAAATATTGATTGGCATAGGATAATAAAGAAACCATAGGCTTAACTTACCCAAATGGGACATAAAGGACATTTAAAAAAAAAAAACAAAACCCAACCAAAAAAACCTAACTCCTTTTCTGACTAAAGAGAAGTCACTTAATGATTTTGCTACTCCATATATTTTTTGGCCTCCAAAATAAGTCAAATTATGAATAATTTTTTAATATATATATATCTTTTAAATGAAATTTTGAGGCTATGCAGCCACTGGGCCTCGTGGGCTAAAATTTTATATATATATCTATATAAAATTTCATTTAACACATATATATATGTAACAGATATTTCTATAAAATATATACACTTTGTTGTCATATTAGTTATATGTGAAACTGTTCAATTTTAAAATAACCTCAAGACACAGACTTGTAGCAACTGTTTGAAGGCCTAACTTAATGTCCCCTTGGTGATGCATGCAGCAGCTCAAATTAAACCTTTGTGCATTGGGTTATGAATAATCTTTTCTTCTAAAGAAGGCTAATGCCTCAGTCTGATTTAATACCAAAGAATAAATTTTTCTGACTTTTCAAGTAGTCTAAATGTGCTCTATGGACAAAATGGAGACACAGAAGGTTTTCTAAATACCATACATAATTACACATGTTCACACTTGAGAGGGAACTCCTGTGATACAATTTCAATCTCAAGTTTTTAAAAACACTATCACCAGCAAAGAGAGAAAAGTCTTAAAGAAAATGTGATAATGATCATAGATTTGGGAATTCCCTCAAATCCAGAAAATTCCAGGTTAAGGCTTGAAGTTGAATCATTCCCAGGTCTAGCTCTAAAGTTAACTAAAGTACAAGGCAAACAATTTCTTTGGGGACAAGCAGCATTGTTTCAATTAGACCTTCTGCAGGGTGAAATCATTCTTCCCCACACTATGGACTCCAAGTGTCATAATAAGCAGGTAAACTCACAAGAACCAAAGCTGACATATGGATAAAAGCAGCAAGATCACAGTACACAAAGTATCATATATAGTGAAGAAATAATTCAGTGTCTTAGATTTCTCTATAAAAATTTGTGATCTATATAGGACTTCATTCACATGGACACTAACGATAAGGAGTATTTGCTTTGGCGGTAGTGGATCACACATCTGCTTATCTTGCTTTTTAATATTTTTTTTTACATAATGTTTTTCTGAGTGATACAGATGTGAGTCAGGTAGCATTTGATTTCCCCACATATACACAACTGAGGTGCCCCCACACTCGGCATCCCTTGGGATCCTTGATTCACTGACGGTAGCCACACGAATCCAGTGTTCTAGCTCAGGACAAGAAGCTTCGCTTGCTCGTGATCAGTCAGCATAAATAATAAATCCAGAAAATGTGCTGTATTTGTTGTTGTTTCCTCCATGAGCTTTCCCACCATCTAGTTTGATATAGACTTCATCTCCAGGCTCCAGATGCAGAACCACACTGTTACTGGCATAGTCGTAATTCTGATCAGCGTCCTGGGCAATTGCACTAGCACGCACCTATGTGAAACAGAGAAGAATTAAAATGCTTAAAAGAGAATTCCCAAATGTTTTTGTTTGTGTGTTTTGTCATTTACGTGGACCAGTACGACTTGCTGGCACTGCACTGAATTTAGCACAGATCAGTCTACACCTTGACCTTGGGGTTTTATGAGGATATCATTGTACCTGTTCCAACTACATTGCTGAACAAGAGGAGAAAAGAAAGGAGCAAGCAGTCCCTTAGTGAAGACTGTTTGACAGATTCTTTTTATATACTATATATTGGGAAAGAATGCCTACTATTCTTTTCTAAAATCAATGCTTTTTCTAATTCCTGAATCCTTATGCCCAGTCATTTCCTAAATAAAAAGACACGCTTTGGTTTTGCATTTTTAAGCCAAGTAGCAAAGCTGCTTAGGAGTACAGACATTCAAGCCCAAGTTCACTTGTTCTTCATAATTACGAGAAAACTTTACAGAGAGCCACAGTAAATGAAACCCCAAGGAAATAGCAATACTCAGCTATATATAAGGGAAAAAAGGAAAATTACTCTTTGATTTGGAACTTTCAAAATCTAATTCAAATAAAACACTTTTGCTACACTCCTTCAGAAGCCTGACTCATTTAAACTTCTTTGATTATGTCACTCAAGTTCTCAGAGTTTTATTTTCAATACATGCCTTTTTATCACTTAATGATGATGTATGCACTTAAAGTATTTCATTTTAACACATCTCAAAGTTTTAAGAGGAACCTAATTTCTATGATTTGAGGTCTTTCAAATTTTTAGAATTTTTGAATTATCTCATTAAAGGCACTTTTCTATTTAAGTGATTCTAAAAGAAATGTGCTTGGCTTTGGTATGAGGGCTGCTTATAACCTGCTGTCATTAGTGAATTGACAGCCATTTGCAAACACTCAAATTGCCTATCGTATCAAGTGATATGGACATTCTGTCACATCTCCCACTCAAATTAGGTTTCAGAATCATTTAGATATATTGTGATGCTGCCTTGGAAAATCTTCCAATGGGCAAACTTGCATTGCATTTGATTTATTTCAATAAAACATCTTCCACTTTGTGGCTTGTTTCTATTCAGCTGTAATGGTATTTCCCTAACATAGCCAGTGATTTAGTGGTTTTTGCAAACCTGCACTCTGTGATAATGCATGACTTGGGCTTCAATATGCTGGATTTTATCATTTGACAAAACGAGAGAAATGAGACAGAAGCCAAGAATTTCCATGTATTTCTTTCAAACTTTAAATGAGAGGTTCTCAAATTAAATTTTCATGTGGTGTGTTCTCATATTAATGCTGAAATGTGAAAAAAGGAGAAGACTCTTGACACTGGTGAACTTGTAATTCGAGTAGTATTTTAAAATTTTCTTTCTGGGTATCACATAGCAAAGTGAGAAAGGGTTTAAAGGATTTCATATTGCTTAACACTGTGCTAACTCTCACTAACACATTGTATAATGAAAGCAATATACCATGTAATTATGCTCAAAAGCACTGATTTAAATGTATACAACAATTTAGTGAGGTGATCTGTTTTGCTCATTAAGGAATAATACAATCAAACCTCATACTATTTCCTAAGAATTAATCATCAGTTTGTAGGAGTAGAGTACTTCGAATCATTAATTTCATGCAATCCTTAATTCCTGGGCGGGGGGGCGGGGGGATCTATAGGGAGGATATTGCTCATAGGACTTGACTTTTTTAAAATATGTAGACTTTTAATGAATGAGAATAAAAAATAGCAATTAGTCATGCTGTTCATGTTAATTCACCATCAGTCCAGTGTATATACTTAACAGCCATTATTAATACCAAGACACACATTTTATTCAGTGTTTTGAGTATTTGAGTGTAGGGTCTACAGAGACTGTACTTTGACATTGTCTATAGGAGGCATTTAGGAACTTGGACTCATTAAAAACACTTGATTTAGAGACAATTTTATTTATACAGTGCAGTTTTTATTCTACAGAGTGTAACCGCAAAACCATGTAAATGTTACCAATTTTATTCAGTAAGTATAACCACAAACCCCCGCTAATGCATTAGTCTGATCCCATGGACTGGAAAGTTACTCTGAACAGTTTTCATTTCCTTTGTTGGATGAAGCCACTGATTGCTTTTTAAATGAAAATGATTCTCTAAGATTTTAACCTATACTTTGCCATAAGACTGTCTCCCAATTAAACAATGCCACACTCCAGTGTGCTTTGTATGATTCTCATATGCTTATTCTCTGGAGGTATGTAACACTCCAAGCTCTAGTATCCAGCTTGGGGAATTCACCAGTTCTTTTAAACTATTCAGGAAAGCAATATATTCATCCTAGAAGTAATCTTCAGGTTTCCAAATGTACCCTGATATCAGCATTTTCTCTGGGAATCTGATGTTTCCTCAATCCTATATTCCCAGTTCTCCATAAATGTCCCCAGAATCACTTCCATATTATAATTTAACTCTTTAGCTTCTGCTTCATTTTTAGCATATGTTTCACTGCTCTTAAAAAGATAATTAATTTGGTATTTCAAGAATCTCTAATAAATGAATCTTAACCCACAAACTATTCATTCTGTCTGATATATTTCATGCTCACTGACATCATCGCTAATAAATCCTGAGAATGAAAACTGGCTCTTAATTATTTTATAGTTATAAATACTAAGCCAGTTTTCTTTTTTAAATTATATTGGTTTATTATAGTGTATTACAGTGATCATGGTCAAATAGCAATATTTTTATTCAGGTTTCCTGCTAGAAATATACAAATAGATTAGACGTTTCTTGTTTTCTGCATAAAGCTATCTGAAAGCAACTTTTACCTTTAATATGCATTGTCTGTCATCTGGGCTCTCAACAAATGGCAAGATTACATTTTAGTTGATGGCTTCATGGGGAATATGAGAACTATGGCTCTTTTAGTGCTGTATTTGTGAGAATATAATCGCTTATGTACCTTTAGCATTATCTTATTAGTGAACATATAACATTAGAGACAATATTTATGGTAGTATTTGCTAATTAATTGCTGCTGATCTCATAATTCCATTTTCATTGTACTTCTGTGGAATCATAAACAAAAGGTTAAGTGGCGTATCAGGTTAATTTACTGGCCTTTGATGTTTCCATCTGTGATCCTGCATTCAACACAAAGCATAAATAAAAATGGCTCTCATGTGGTTATGGTTGAGAAGCATTCCTCTATCCTAGAGGGAACTACATTTGTGTGTGTGTGTGTTTAATTTTTGTGTTTCTCAAAATCCATTTAATCCATAGAACATCACAGTGACATGAATGTCTACATTTCTGTTTTATAAAAACAAATCAACTCAGAGAGAGAAACTGCCATTCTAAGAGGTGATAAGGCTAGGATCTTGTCCAAATAAAAAAAGTCTTTATTTGATGATGATGTTAATAATAATATTTTAGAAGATTTCTCATTTGTAACTACTGTCTGCAGACCAGATTGTTCTCTTTGAGAGACAAACATCTTTAAAAGTACTGTAACTGTTTTCCAGAATAGTCCAGGCTAAGAGATCAATGGTTCCCTACTCTATATTTTATTTCTAAATTACCTGTTGCACACTTTTTGCAGCATATCTTTGGTAAAAGCTTACTAGTGTCATTAGAAAGCATTGTAGATTATCAGATCAGCAGCTTACCTTGCTGGTTGCTGGTGGTGGTTTTTCCCCTGATCCTCATAGTGTGCCTATGGCATGACACAAAGGAGTGTACTCCATGCGGTGAAACAATTTTACAAACCAAAGTGCACACAGAACATCTATATGGAATTATTTTCTTGGATTAACATGACAATAACACAACCTCCAAAGTATAGATAACCAACATGTACATAAATTTAATGGATTGGCTTTCAAATAATTGCAAATCTCCAGATATTTAAAAATGCAGGCAGGCATTTTCATAATTTTGTTGCTCAAATAGAATCTTACTCCATTTTTAGTAAAATCTCTAAAGACCATTTCCACAGCCTGACAATATTTTCCAGACCTAGCCTTTGGAGCTGAAAAGAGCCAATTTGCAAATAATGGGGAAGCCTCAGAAGCTGCCTGCTGAGGGGCTGGCTGTTCTGAACCCATTTTGTTACGATGACAGAATAGCTCTATTTTGGAACACTGAGTCATGTTGCTCAAACCATTTACCTGTAACTATCCCATGACTCTATGAATACTTTTTATTTATCTTAATATTCTTTTTTGTGCATATTAACTGTAATAAACAACCCTGTCAGTGCCTCCTGGTGGCCATTTTTCCTCTTTTTGTTCTATGCGTCCTGAGGGCCTAACCTTAAGCTATTTGCATCTGAATTTCTTCAGAAGGGAGTGGGTAGTTAGAGAAGAGGAGCAAGGAGAAGACTCTTAGTTCTTTCCTTCTCATTTAGGACTCTTGCCTTCACTTTTGAAATAATTCTGACATTGATCTAAATGCTTGGGTGAAATTTTGTTTTCTGCAGCTTAATAGGAACCTAGGTTATAGAGGTCTGAATTTCCAAGAGGTGTGTGACTTGAAGTCTCTCTATTGATGTTAGGGGCCATCGAGTCTACTTATAACGTCCCTATGAACTGAAAGCTCTTGTTAAAGTTACTGCAGGAGAGCTCTCTCAAAGACAACGGGTTTTCAATCAAGTTACAACCTCGAACTCGACCCAGGTTATGAGATGTAAGGCCTTGCCCAAGTGGCGGCAGATTCAGCACTAGCTGAAGGTCCGGTTACACTTGGAGGTAGTTACAAATATTCTTTTCCTCTGACTAAGGGACCGTTCGTTTCGATTGTGCAGTGACTGCAAATTTCTCAAGTAAATGAATGGTAACAGGGTCACAAGCAGAAAACTGCAAGACCTGTGGCCCTCTTGGAGACGCTGTACAGTTTGGAAGATGTTAGGGCTAATCTTAATCTATTCACAGCCAAGGCCAAAGCCGCTACTGAACCGAAGGGAGAAAGCCAGACTGGAAAGGCTCCCACGTAGGCGCGCGTGGCGGTAACTGGCACTGAGGTCCAGAGCACAGGGACTGGGCTACTCGCTCCCCAGGCCACCACTCTGTGTGCCCTCCTACTGCCTTCAGCAGAGCTTTGCGTTTGCATGGGGTGTGTTTTACTGTACAAACCCACAGAGTCTCAACTTTTTCTTTTGTTACCATACAAACACTCCGACCTTCTCTTTCTTTGTTGGGCTGAAAACTCAACCGGAGTTTGCGTCCTGGCACGGACTAGGTGCACTTCACCTCCAGGAAAGCAAGGATGCTGATGGCCCTGATCTGGCTGGCTCCACAGTCCTGCCTTGCATCCGGACGCACCCCAAGTAAAATGGTTCTTTAGAGCCCTTTCTTTCTCCCTCAGGCCTCTGTCTTTTTCCTAAGGGTCAGCCACCCTGGCATGCCCATTCCAGGCTAAGCTAGTTCTCAGATTCCCAGGAGAGTTTGCCGGCGAGCCTACACTGCTGAGGATCCCGAGGCTGAGGCTATCTCTCTTCCAGCTTTGGCCCTCTTGTGTGTGAGGGGAGGGCCAAAGCTGGAAGAGAGATAGCCTCAGCCTCGGGATCCTCAACACACAAGTGGTCCGGGAGACCGAGCTCTGGGCGCCCCGGCTTCCCGCGCTCCGAGGGTCGCGCTTTCACGCGCGCGCTCCGAGTGTGGGTCCTCGGCTTGGGAACCGCCCTCTCCAGGCCACCAAGCGCCCTTCCCAGTGTAAGACCCCCGCCTTTCCAGAGTGGAACAACTCCGGGGTGCCGGACGGCCGCGCCCTTCTCTGCGGGCTCCCCACCCCCATTTCCGGGGTCTCCTCCCTCTTGCCTGTACCTCCGCGCGCTCTCTCCCCGCCCTCCCGGCTGCCTCCCTGCGCTCACCTGGTTGTTTTTGCAGAGATCAGCCCACATGCTGGTGCCGTCCCCTCCGCGCATCAGGACGTGGTAGGTGAAGAAGTAGATGCCAGGGATGGAGCAGGTGAACTTGCCCGTGGTAGGATCGTAGTGGTTACCGAGATTGGTGACCACGTCGTCGAACTTCAGCACCTCATAGCCTTCATGCTGCCTCTTGAGGCCAGCGTAGAAGGCGATCTTGGGCACCGTGCTGTAGGTGGCGGCGCTGATGGCCCCCGCCGCGTTGAGGCCGGGCGCCCCGGGTGGGCCCGGCAGGCCTTGGCGGCCCGGCTCGCCCTTCTCACCCGGGGGCCCCACGGGGCCAGGCGGTCCTGGCTCTCCGGGGGGCCCACGTGGGCCCGCTTTCCCTGGCCGACCCGCCTCGCCTTTGGGACCCTGGATGAAGGTGGGCAGGGACTGCATGAGGCCGCGGTCGGGCGTGGCGGCCGTGCTGGGTGCCTTGGTGCCCCCGTAGGGGTCGCAGACCATGCGACAGGTGCCCAGCATCTCGTAGTGCGCCGAGGTGCCGGCCGAGCTCACAAGCACCGGGATGAGGATGACCAGCAGCAGCACCATCACCACCCCCAGCGCCCCGGCGGCGATCAGGCGCCTCCTGCTGCCCACGAGCCGGCTCAGCGCGGGCCGATCCTCTTGTCTGCTTTTGGACAAAATTTTGAAGGTTGGGCGGGGACCTCCTCAGAGCCGAAAACAACCCCCGACGAACCCCAACTCCCCTGGGCGGTAGCGCACCGGCCGCTTTTCTTCTGCTCTTGCTCCCCCCGCTGCGGCTGCGGCTGGGGAGGGAGCTTGGGCGCGAAGTGACTTGAGCTGAAGTCCCGAGCTGGGGGTGGGGTGGGGGCGGGGTACGCAGGGCGCCCTCTCGCCTCCGGCGAACCCCTGCGCACCTGTGGCTGCCGCTGCAGCCGGCCGGGCCACCGGGAGGGCCGAGCCTGCCGCCGCCTCTCGCGCTCGCCGGCGCCGCTCACACTTTTATGCCGCGCCTGTCAGCGATCGACTTTTCCGTTTTTGCAGACTGCGCCAGTTCGCACTAACTTTCCGTCTGAAGTTGCCTTTTTCTGCCTCCTTCTCCACCTCTTTCGTTCGCCCTTCCTCTGCCTCTTTTTTTTTTCTCCCTCTATCTTCTTTGCAACCACCACAACTCTAATAGACGCGCACCTGAAAGAGCCGCGCGGGCCGCGGGAGCTCGAGCGCGGCGCCCCGGGGCTGCCCCGAGCGGCGGTGGTGGGTTCAGTCGGCTCGGCGAGACTCTCAGCTGGAGCGCGGCAGCTAGCGAGCGGCGGCGAGCGCCTCACGGCCAGGAGCGGAGCGAGAGAGAGACTGAACGCAGGATTCTGCCTGGGTACCACCTGCCAGGAGAAGAGGAGGCTGACAAACGCGCGCCGGAGCAATTTATAGGCACCCAAGGCACAGAGGAAGGGGAGCCGCTTTGGCATCTCATTGCAGCATCTGCTCTGCTCATCCCACTCAGAGAGAGTTTGGCATTACTCTGACAATGTGGGGATTTTTTTTTTTTTTCGGCCTCTCTTTTTTTCCCTCTGTGCACATGGATGCGCAGTGAGCGCCTGAATACTCCCTTGCTGAACCCAGGCGATGGCAGGCTTCCCCAGGACATACACTGGGGTAGTGGGGGAGTGAGACAGACAGATAGATGCAACAGCCTTCAAAGCTTGAGGTTCACACCTCCAGGACATACCCTGGGGTGGTGGGGGAGAGAGATAGATATGCAACCGCCTTCAGAGCTCAAGGTTCACACCTAAATCCCCTGTTTCCCTACTGCCAGCAGCCCCAGCTGGAGGTGGAGGTGAAGGTTGAGAGGAGGTGGCTTCATTGACTGTTCCTTCCCCTGCTGAAGCACTCACAATCAGTGCTTCAGGTGTTCTTCAAAATGCCACTTAGAGCGGAAGGAGGGCCCTTTAGAATTATCCAAGTGGTAGCTTTTTTTTTTTCTTTCCACCTACCTGGCTATCTTTCTAACATGAAATAAGGATATTAATCTTGAGAACATTAGGGTGTGTTGAATCGCCAAAGGACCACATTTCTCATAAAGGAAAAGGGGCGGGTCTTTTTCACAGATGCTGCACCTTTGGCATTCATTTGTGCATACTTGAATGTATACATCTGTCCTCTGCTTACAAGTGCTTCTAACTGTGGCAATCTTTCAAGAGATACTGCCATTGGGGTTGAAATTGCACTAACTTAAAAGACCTAAATGCATCTGAGGTAATCACTTGTCAAGAGTCTTAAGATAAAACAAAGCCATATTTACAAAAATATGGAGGTTGGTCTTTGCCTAAGACATGGAAATAGCCCCATAACCTCCACAGTAAATTTCCTGAGTGTTTGGCATAAAAAATATACGAGAGCAGAGGCCCCATTCAGTGAAAAAGCTGGAGAAGGAGCAGCCTCCATTTGTAATGTTAATGGAAAGTCCCCAGAGCGGATGTTAGGCAAGTTATCCCACCAAAAAATATATAGGATACACAAGAACAGCTTTAAATAAGTAAGTAGAATTGATTCCTAAATCATACTTCTGTATTCAAGAACAATGGATGTCAATCAAACATGGGTGACATTTGCTTGTCAATACAGGGATGATAGCTGGGAAGACGTGACTTATTACATCAGGGAGAGAATCTGAAATGAGAAGCAGGGACAAATAAGAACACAAGAAGCAAACAATAACATCCTGGATGGTGATCAGCAGCCCCTGATCTTGTCTATGGGTTCTGTAACATGAATGTCCTCTCTGCTCTGTCTACCTTTGCTCCCTACTCCACAGCTACCCTCCTAAATCCATTCTCTCATCTCTTCTTCTCTATTTCAAAACAAAACAAGGTCAAATGGACAGAAGAAGAAGAAGGAAACAAGGATCCAGTGATTCTTTTCAGAAAACTGTCAGCAGCTCTTTCAGCTTTTCCCTGGGAGAATGAGCACTAAGGAGTTGACCCACGTCTCCACTTTCTCTCTCCTGCCTGACTGCTGATAAATCCAGTGCTCCTGGCCCTGGAACCTATTCATTCCCCCTTCTCAAATCTGTAATGTTCATTGTAGAGCACTGTAGAGTGGTTTTATAAATATGTGTCTCTATCTTATGCTTAAGATGTAGTTATGAAAATATTAGTAGAAACTCCATAATAAATTTTAATAGTATTTTAGTACAGCAGTATATTTTAGTAATATTTTTAACATGTAATATATTTTAGTGATATTTTTGTTAGCAAGAGCTATCTTATTTTCTTATTTTTAAACACAGAACACAAAGTAAATTCTCTCCTGGCCAGAGTATCTTCTGGGATACCTTTCAAAGGTCATTTTTTCCGGACTGAAATGGCAAGACATGGTGCAACAGTAAGGGCTAATATGTTAGTGAAATAAACTCTTTTCTGATGCACCAAATTATCAACATATTTAAAGTTTCTTTATTATTAAAGTAGGTTGATGGGGAAATAAAAGGAGAATTTTGTTTATTACTAAAGCTTTTAAAAAAATCTGACTGTAGTAACTATATGGGTCACAAAATACTGACTCCTTCAACAATCTTCACATCAACAATTCAGGAACATGAATTCTGTTCAGCATTCTGTTCCACCAGCAACATTAAATTTTCTTTTTTCCCGTCATTAACTTTTCTTGAGTTTTTTCCCCCCCATCACCCTTAACAGAAAGTCCTTGTCCCCTTAGGACTGAGCTTTCCTTTCCTTTGCTTTCTTACCTTCCCTCAGCAACTTTGACCTCCATACACTTGTCTATTGTAAATACTCCTCTAAGTAGGGTCACATAATACGTGTTTTTTGACTGACTTCCTTCACTCCACATAATGTTTACAAAGTTCACGCATATTGTAGAATTTAGCAAGACTTCATTTCTTAAAAGGAGAGATTTTCCTAAGATAGAGTTGTATGTTTAAACACCAAAAATTTGAAGGCACACAGGGTTTCGGACACTGAAGAATATTCATCTGGTTGTGGAACTTATCAAGGACACCATGAAATATTAGAACAGAAATGGAATTCTAGAAATCTAGTCTCTGCTCCTTGTATAGATAAGGATTTGTAGATAGACCAGAGTGGAATCACCGCCACCTGGCAAGTCTGCTAGTAGTGTACCTTCCACTTTATTACAGTATGGACCTATGGCACTGTTCCTGGTAATTGAAGCTTTCCTCCTTTCACTTGCCCTATTGCCAAAGCATAGTTTCATTTGGCAAATGGATGTGCTAACATTTTAAAATTCTGCTGAGTTATCAAAAAGGACTCAGTAGTCATCATTCATCATAAAGACATCTTCTGCAAGGCCAATATAGTTGACCCTATAATTTCTAGTGCCTAGTACGGTATGAACTTCGGCGTGCGCGCATGCGTGTATAGAAGGGGCAGGGGGTGAGGGGGGAAGGTCAAGTTATTGGTCTCCTTTCTTTCTTCTAGAAATCTCCATTGCATACTTATGTTTATTCCCCCATGAGTCTGAGGTTTATTTGAGTGGTAGACATGCCTATAGCTGGCTACTGCCACTTTCCATGCTTGAATTTCTCAGAAGATTCTCTGGAAAGTTACTCACGCTTCAGCTCTCCTCTGACAGTTTGAACAGACCATCTGATATGCCATATTACTCATCATCTTTATATATATATAATAATAGAAAATGTGTCAATTAAAAAAAATATTTTCTACAGTCCTCATCAGAGAACCAAGTTTTCACTCATATTTGGTAATAAGCTTGGAAGTGGGCCCTGAAATGTGATTTTCACAGCATTCCCCAAACATTTCTCAAGGAAACACCAGCCTTCACATTCCCATTCCTTCTGTACCTGGACTTTTGGAGACCTGTGGGGTGATAAATTCAAATCCTGAAGCCCATGGTCATTCTGATCACCCTGTGATTTCTGTCTTCCTCACATCATTTCTGACACTTTAAAAGTTGAGCAGCTCCTAAGCACACAACTCCCACATAGACGTGCACGGCCATCCATTAATCTTTATCAAGCACCCACTGGCAGCAGGGGCCTGCACAGGTCTCTTACTGGGCAAACAAATATTTAGTCATAACAATAATTTCCAAATCCAGCAGCACTTAAAAATAAATAGTGTTTTTTAGAACAGATTAAAAAAAAATTGACAAGCCCAAGGTCTGGCTAGAGAAACAGACATAACAGTTATAAAAAGTTGAGGGTGGATCGGCTAATCACCATTAATTTCTGGATCTAAAAATTGTATTTATGTACACACACCCCTTTTTGACTAAAGAATTTGAAATTCCAGCCAGAAAGGATCTGTGTTAGGCATGGAAGCAGCGTAGCTTTGTGGCTTTCAAAGCAGATGAATCTGCATTTGAACCTAAACCACCTTATTTAAAAACTGAACCCACTGCCATGGAGTCAGTCTCTCCTCAGCAACCCTTGAGACAGAATAAAACTGCCTCATGGAGTTCTCAAGGCTCTGAATCCAGAAGCTGACTATCATCTTTCTCCGTCTAAGAGCAGCTGTTGAGTTCGCATCGCTGATCTCAAGTTAAGAGTCAAGTGCTTTTTAACCACTATGCCATGACTTCTTTAGTAGCTACAGTGTTGTTGTGTAGATTGGGTCAATGCATACCGCCACAGTGGCATCCATCCAATATTAGCAAAATTGGCACAGTAACTACATAAACGGGCTCAAGCATATCAGAGATGGTGAGGATGGTGCAGGATGATAGGGCTGGGTTCAAATCTCTTGTTTGTAGGGCCACTTTGAGTTAGAGTCATTTCAAAAGCACCTAACTACAATTAATTACAACCATCGTCTTAGCACATTGCACATGGGGTGCTGATGGGGGGGCGTAGGCAAAGAAGATAAAGGGTCAGGCTTAAGACAAATGCTGTAAGATAAACTAGCATTGTATACTTTAGATGATTCTGAAAAGAATACAGATGTTCTCTAGAAGAGTTACTTCTCTTGTGCTTTCCTATTTTATGAAGCAAAGCAAAGAAAACATTCCAAAGAAGCGCCATTTTACCTTTCCAAAGTGAGAAAACAGTTCCACATCAAGATTATTAGATTCTCTTCAGTTTGAAATACCATATTTTCAGATGTACTTTTTACCCTCTAGAATAGAATCAGGGGAGCTCTGGTGGCCTAGCAGCAAGTAGCAGCACTGCAACCCCCAAGCACAGGGTTCAAGTTTACCAGCTGCTCCTCAGGAGAAGGACAGACAATCTCCTCCTGTGTCTTTAACTGCCTCTGAAAACCCACTGGAGGGTCAGCTGTGGGTTGATTCCAACTCGATGGTTCACAAACAACAACAGAATTGCCCTCAAGCCTATAGCTTACAAATATACTTAAAATTATTTAAAACAGTTATTCAGGAATGCCTCAAATTATGATTCTCAAAAATCACAAACATATAGAAATAACTACATTTTAAAGCGATTTTGTAAAATTGGCCAAACGAACCATCTTTGCAAGGCAGACTTACGTTATAACTACGTTCAGCTCAGAGTTCTTAACACTGCGAG